CAGTACTTAAAGGGGCCTTACAAGAAAGATGTGAACAGACTTTGTAGCAGGACCTGTTGTGGTAGGACAAGGGGTAATGGTTTTCAACTAAAAGAGGGCAGATTTAGACTGGATATAAGGAAGAAATTTTTCACAAGGAGGGTGGTGAAGCACTAGCACATGTTGCCCAGAGAGGTGGTAGATGCCCCATCCCTGGAAACGTTCCAGGTCAGGTTGGGCGGGGCTCTGAGCAACCTGATCTAGTTGAAGCTGTCCTTGCCCATTGCATTGGGATTGCACTAGGTGACCTTGAAAGGTCCCTTCCAACCCAAACTGTTCTATGATTCTACATTTGCATATATATATATATAAAAAAATTTTGAAATGGAACACAAAATACCCAAAGATTCTATGATTCTATGAAGCAGCTTTCATTTCAAAGGAGCAGATGATTTTTAGAGAACTGTGGCATGTTTGACTCAACCATAGTAGGCCAACTGGATGTGTATGACTTGGCCTTTTGTCTCAGTCTGAACAAGCTGATCCATTGGAATGTGTGAATTCTAGCTCATTGTCACATTCTGCTTTGGCCCAGAGAAAGGTGACTCTCACAGTCATTTTATTCCTCATATTATGCTATTTGTGGAGCAAGACACCAAGTTCCTGGAGACTTAACCATGTAGAGAGGTAGCTGTGGGTTTTAGCTGCTTGCAAGAACTTGGGTTTCCTACTGAGCTCAGAGAGAAGGAAGAGCAGGTTCCTCACCTGGATGTGAAAAATGTTTGTTAGTTCCTGGATAACTAATGGGGTCAAAACCCAACCAAACAAAACTTCCTCTGATAACTCAGTTTTGCAGTCATTTTCCATGCAGTGATCCTATAACTAAACTGGAGACATTTTTTGTTAGGAAGGAATTGAAGGTTATTTCAGCTTGTACTGGAATTTTATGCTTATTTTCATATACGCGTTTATAAGTCCAGAGCTGTATTTACTGTAGATAATATGTCCTAAAAAGCTGTCACTGCTGTCATTACTTGTTGTAAACAGAATTTAAAGACTGGAATTTTCCATTTGGCCTAAGAGTTCTGGATACTCGTCTCCTCCTAAAAATTCAATTCAAGGACCATATTCTGTTTTAAAAATCCTAGCCCCAAAGGAGTTTTCCAGATTGTGATATGGAAACGATATTCTTAGTTTCAGCTAACAAAAGCTGTGTTCTACATACATTTTTCCTCCTCCATCGTCTTTTTTCAAATAATGAAAAATGTGTTCAACGTAAGGGCTCTGATGTAAACACTCATTTTGAACTTCAGTAACGGTGAAAAGTGGCCAAAACCACCTAATTGTTTTTTAAATCAATTTCTATTTTGTGGTTGCTTCACTTCTTACTAAATTAATTTCCTTTACTAGATCTTGAGAAGAACTTTGTCAATATACTTTTGACAATTCAAATAGAGTCTGGATGACACAGACCTGGTTTTCTCCCACAGATGTGCCATTTTATTCCTTTCATAAAATATTGAATGCTTCTGTAAGTAGTAATTTTGAGTAGTTCAGCTGGTATGAAGGTTTATTGGTCTACAATTACCCAGAGACACATTTCTTTTAAGATGGGTGTAAAATACTAATTGCAAATGTCTGTGCTCTTGTTTTTATCAGCAGTGAAGCCGAATTATTCTTTGCTGACTTGTGGATCTCTATCGCTGCATTCCGGTCCCCCACTTGTAAGCTCAGTCTATAACTGTGGGCTGGAGCACTTGAAGAAACCAGACCTGGGTACGGTGAAGATCAGTGAAAATAAATCTTTCTCTATGGTATCATTTCTTCTTCCTTTATTTACACAACAATGTACTGGCTCAAGCCAAAGATTTCTGGTATCCTGTCTCCCAGGTACATAGCTAGTGCCAGGGCAACCCTGTCCTGATATTGCCCTCAATAATGTTGGGTACTAACAGCTATCGTAAAACCTGTTTGTTCCTCATTGGGCTGTGATTCAGACAACTGAAAATGGCAAAGTAAAAGCTTTTTGTCTACCTTTCAAGAGAGCATACTTGGATACATCAGAACAGTCTGGCAATTTTAGAGAATTTTTTGACTCAACTTTTCTCTTTTCTGTCTTTTTTCCCCCCCAAAGATACAAGAGGTTTCAAGTCGCAAAACTTGAAATAACGTTTGAGATATGAGCAGTATTCTGCTCAAATTGGAGTTCCTGCTTGTTCAAGCTCTATGTAACTTAAACAGGCACAAGGTATTTTTAAATGATCTCTTATTCCTATTAAAACCTCCCCTTCAGTTTGCTTTTGTGTTGCTTTTTCATTTTAGAGATTCTTTATTCCTTCACGTGTTTCAGTGGCTGCCACGTTAGCAAATGGGTATACAGAGTGGAACTTTGTGGCATAGAAGCACTTAAGAAGGGATTGTAGTTGTCGTATCAAGCATCCAAAGAAAACAAGCTTTTCTTTGTGTGTAATTAGTACAAAGATCCTTCCTGGTAACATTGAAAAACAGGAAACTCAATAGAATTTTAAAGCTCTTTAAAATGGTCACAAACCTTGGTTTTGTCTCGCTGATGCTGGAAATGGAAGAATTTCGGAGACTAACTTGTCAGTCTTGGCTTTGTAAACTCGTCTGGTGACCTACAACATTAAAAAAAAGAAACCAAAACAGTAGATTAATGATTATTCCACTAAATCACAAAAATCACTCAGGTAGGATGGACCACCAAAGCCATGCAAGCGAGCTGTAAGAAAAGCAGTTCTATAGTCCTGTTTGTTATGAAACCTGCACAGCAGTAGATGTGGAAAGCAAATAAATGAATTAGTATTTTTAGTTCTGAATTGCCAAGAAAGAGATTAGAATAAAATTTGCTTTAGTTGCAGAGTTAATACATGAAGATGGGCCTTTTATTTGAGGTAGGGCTGTTTGTTGAGGGGTAAGAAAAGTACTTCCGTGCATTTTACCTCCATGCTGAATTGTGTTTTCAAGTTCATGTAATGCTTCGTGATCAATGATCTCTGACGAACTGACACAAGCACTTACACTACAAGCCGTATGACAAAAGCTAGTTATGGGTTCGTCGTGTTCAAAAGCAGGATTAATCCTTACAGCATTTTCTGAATTGCAGCTGTTGAGAGTAGGACTTCTACAATGCAGAACATTTTTGTTTAGGTAAGATTTTAAATGGTAAAAAAAAAAAAAAGAAGGATTATCTTGAAATGTGAAGAAAAAAATTGTGAGCAGCTTACTGCAAGTCAGAGTTTCTTTTGCTTTCTCTTCTTAATTTAATAATTAAAATGATGAAAAGAAAACCAAGGCTTAGTAGGCCAAGAATGAGAGGTTTAAAAATGAAGGGTTGTATGGGTTCTGGAGCAAATTTTGCACAGCGCTGTCCTTGGTAAAGCTCGTGTCTACGTACAGGGCATCTAAAATAGGGAGAGGAAGAGAAAAATGTGCAGAACTCTAAGACAGAAAATACAGAGTACCTCAAATGAAAACAAAGGAAAATCTGCAATTAAATACAAGCACAGTATTCCCAACATAATTGTTATGTGTCTGTATGAAATAATGTGATTGATAATAGAGGAAAGGAAATACTCTTAATTCATGTGAGTGACTGTTAAAGACATTGATATATTCTCTGACAACCTACAAATTTTAAGGAAATTACGCATTTGGAACATCTCTGACAAATTTCTAACCCCACAGGTGAAGATGAAATAGCATTTGTGGTTTAGAAGTTCAGGTGTGTTTTGGAGTAATGTCTAAACACGTCTTTGAAGACTTTGTTCTGTTTATTGGTAATTTTAATCTGAGTAGCAAGATCTGAAATAAGGTTTTACTACAAATAGCTGCCTTTTAAAGCAAGGGGGAAGATTGTCATATTTTATATGAGAACACAGGGGTTCCAGTTAGTGGAAAAACTAACATGGTTCTGAGTAAATTCATAAGCACAAGTGTTTGACTAAAGCAAATAAAAGGCTAAAATTTTCTCTCTGCAGACTGTACAAGTTTGCACAAGCTGTCAGTCTGAGACTGGCAGTAAGTTTGTTTGTAACTTGCTATGATTCACAAAAAGTTTCATTTATTATTTTTATTACTTTTGTAATTTCAAATGATGGTTTGGTTATTACTGTACATCAAGTCAGGGCTTCTCTGAAATGGAAAGGTGTTATTTTCCTTAGTGTGTTGGTCTTGGAGAAGCAGGCTATACTCTTTGCTACTTCAGTAAAGTTTTGAAGAGGACATCTTTAACTCACAGGCTAATTTCTAGTACAAAATACTGCAGCTGCACTACTGTGACTCCACAAGTCAGGAATTTAGTAGTAACTGTGGTGAATTCAATATAATCTTATTATCATTATTGCACTCACTGGAGAAAATGAATTATGGTAGTTTTGTTGTTACAGTGAAATTATCATATGAATAATTTGCTCAAAAGTCTTATTTTTTGATGTTAATCCTAAATACACTAAAAGATGTATCATTAACCTGGTAAAGTCAATATTAAGAGAGAATAAACAAGTGCAAGAATTATAACTTGTCTCTTTATACACGTGGCTGGGCAACTACCATGTGCCAATCTGGTATACAGAGTTGCACATAGTGCTCTGGATAGTCTGGTCTTACAATGAGATGAAACTTGATTCTTTTAAAAGAGAGTTAATATGTTCAAGCACTGTGGTAGTTTTCAATATTGAATTAACATCATTTCATGTAAAAATCCTTATGGAATGTTTTTGCAGTTAGGTGAGCTGCTAATCATCAAGTCTTTCCCAGAAAGCCCTGAAAGCAGCTTCAGCCTTCGTGTGGTCTGGAATCAGAATAGTGTTCATAGGTGTGTTTATAAGAATATAGATTTTCTTTTTAATACAACTTAGAAAACAAAAATTTCTTAAAATACTAATATATAATCAATAGCAAAACCATGAACCTGTTATCTCATTTTTCTGAGATGTATTTGGAAATCTGAAAAGGATGCATGGTTTTGTACTTGTTATCTCTGCTAGTGATGCTGAATTTGTAATAAATTTCTAAAACATCTCTAAAAAAATAACTAGATCATGATGTTCTATGTGTACCAACAGGCAGAAATGGATTTATCTGTAGTGAGACTATGCTGAAGAAGGGTATTGCAGTGTAGCTTGAAGTGTCTGAATGTTGAAGTCTTGGCTTATTAGCATAGTTTATGCTGTTGAAAAGTATATACACAGCCCTGCCTGTTCATGCAATAGACATATCAGGTGTCTGTTAACAGAATTCGTGTTAAGCACCGTTTATTTACCTGCAGACAGCTCCTCTTCCTGGAACTAACTCACATTTCCCACCATTGATGCAAAGGTGGGGTTCTAACTCACACAGGCTCCGACAGGGTAATCCGTCTTGGCTTGCGTAACCAGGTTTACAAAGGCAGTCGGCCTCTTTTGTCCCATCGTTCATTATACATTCAGAGAACTCGTCACATGCCATGAATTTGCATGGGTCTGCCTGATCAGCTGTAAAAGATGGTTAAATCATTAATTGATGCATTACCCCAAAGTAATTTGGCAGGCTGTGTGGCAGCTAGAGGAAACAATTCACATTTACTGGCCTGCTACGTTTGCATGTTAATAGGAGGATATAGTCTAGCATAAAAGGACACACATCCTTCTTTCTGTAGATGACACAGCAAGCATGCAAGCTTATATTTAGTTGTACATTTGTTTACCCCATGACTGTGGTTTAATTTTCATCTCACTGACAAGGATTTTCACATATGAATATTCTGATCCTTTTTTACTCTAAGTGCTAGTTTTATACTCATGGATACTATGCTGCAGCCTTGCCTATGTGTAAGAAATAGTTTTGTCTGTAATAGTTTTAAACACATCATTTAGGACATGACCAGGGAGAGAATTAGGTTATTGAATATTACACAGTACTTTGAGGACTGCAACATAGAAGTACTGGCACTGTCTAGAGAAAATACATGCTTGCAGGGCTTTTTTGGAAGTGCTGTGTTAGCATTGGGAAAACTTGCTGGGTTTTTTTACTGTTGTTTTTAAATATTAGCAAGGAATGCTTCTGTGAGGTTAAAGGAAAATGAGTCTGCTGATTTTCATAGGAAGGCCCAAATCAGAGACAGCCTGAAGTCCTAACTTCACCTGTCATTCCTTTCTCAGTCTCTGCTTCTTCCTAGAAATTAAAAAAAGACCCAGAAGGAGTCATTTTAACCCAGTGCTCAGCCCAGCTGTGTGCTGATGGAGTGATGAGGAGGAGGGCTACATCCACCAAACTTGTCTCATGGAGGCAATTCCCTGTGTACTGTGGGGTAAAGCCCTTGGATAGAAGGGAAAAGGTGAGAAGCAGACCAGGGGATACAAATTCCATTCTTGCCAGCAAAGAGTTTCAATAAGATGTGTGAATCTAGAAAGGGAAAAAAAGAACAACAACCAAAAAAGCATACAAAGACAAGAAAGGAGAGCACAGAGAAGGACGTGAGATCAGATACAGAGATATGAGCTGGGCTACACAAGACACTGGGTCCTCTGTGACCAGACCGGTTCAAAGGAAGTTTGCATGTGGCAGTCTTAGCTGTAGAGAGGAACTTGGTCTCAGATCTGGTTTATAGAAATCAAAATCACGGAAGAAAACCAGCCTTTTTTAGTTATGTAGGCTTAAAATTTCTTAAGAAGAAAAATCAGTAATTTAAAAAGATTCGTACTGGATATTACAGCTAATTCCTGTAGGTACTACCTGGGCTGAGAATTTTCTTCCAGAGCCACTTCATGGCCCTAGATGTTCTGTAATACTCATTTCAATAAAAAATGAGCGTTGCATTCTTCATAGTAGTACGGGAAATCTCAGACACACATTAGGATATGCTTAACTGGTAGAAATTAATCCATCAAAGCTGTTCACTTTTAACTCCTCTATAATTCTATGGCTAGTTCCTTTTTTATTTTTTTTTTTTAATTTGAGACTAGTGAGTCTTAGGATGCTTAATTTCCCTTTGCTGTATGCAATGTGCACGTTAATTTGGGATCTACTTTGCTCCTGGACTGTAAATGTAGGCACATATAAACTCTAACAACTGGGCATCAAAGTGATACAATAAGTTACAAGGCAACTTTATTGTCAGATAAACCCTTGCTTCTATGTTAAAAAAAAAAAAAAAAAGAATTCCAAGTATTTGGAATTCTGGTCAGTGATACTACTGGTCATTAGCCCTGGTCATTGATATTACTGATTAGGAATTACAAAGTTTAGTTTCTAATGAAACAAAAACAATGGGCAGATCAAAAGGGGCTATTAGCTCTTAGATTCTTGTTTTGCCCCATACAGAATTTCACTCCAAGCAAAACCAGAACACTTCCAAAGGAAAATTGGTTAATAAAAGAATTTGTATGATTAATTGATCAAAACAGTAGCAGCTGCACAACTGCATGTCTCACGTAAGTCTCCCCGGTTTTGATGGTCACAGTTTACCTTTCTAGTAGTGGAAATAAATGTTGATACTGCTAGTAAGGAGACACAGGCTCTAAGCATTATCCAGGGTTGTGTGCTGCAGTTTTTGGAAGTTGAAAGATCTCAGTGCATTTCTATTTGACAAGTAGAATTAGTCATGAGCATTTTGCTGGGTTAGAGTGTCATTTTTTGTGATAATGTTTCATTTCCCTTAACAAAGTGTTGGACTATGTACCTGCCACACTTTGTCATCTTTTCTGTTTTCACTTTGTTTAAATTACAAAAAAAAAAAGCATGCAAATATTTTTAAAAGCCCACTATTTTGTTATTTATCACTAATGCAGTCAGCCCTTTTTGCAGCTGCTGAGTTCTCATACATATTTTTGGGCTCTCAGTTCCCACCAGTGTTTCAGTTTGGTATAGCATGATTACCACTAGATGGCTCTTACTTTCACAATAAATAGGAATTGGCCTAATTGACCTTAATTTACTAAACAGGTTGGGTTGTTTTGTTTATTGTTTTTCTGAAGTGAAAAGACAGTAGGGCTTTGAAACACCTGTATGGGAATATACTGGCTTTCTAAACATAATTTCTTCTATGTTGATATTTTACTACTGCTCATCAGCCTTGAAAGAACATCTCTGTCAGCAAACCCATTGTGAGATCGTTTTCTTGAATAAATGTTGAAATACCACATCAGTAAAGCAGGCAATATGGATGAAGATGAAAGATTTTTGAGTTTTTCTGTGTTTGCATTTTAGCAACTTCATCATTTTAATTTTTATTTAATGACAATATACTATGAAAGCAGAAAACATGTGCTAGTCCAAAGTTCACTCTTTCTAGTGAACTCACGTAATACTATATTCAGTAAAGCATCAGTTTATCATGGCAGTATTTGAAAGTTTGAATATTGCAATTTCGTTAAACTTTCTTTACCACACACTACCTATGCTCTTAGTGGCCACAAGGAGATACATAAAATGAAAACAGAATAGAAAATGCCTGCATGATTTGTAAATGGATTTTTGTTCTGGAGTTGTCAGAGATCTGTACATAAAAAAACAGCTTAACTAAATCTGCTAAAGGTATCTGCATGTGAAGGTGTTGGTATTTTTCTTCTCCGTGCCAGTGGACCTTCCAGCATACAGTAGTGTCCAGACATATTTGAAATTTATTACATCATGAGGGATGCTGGAATTACAAATCTATGGAGTGCTGTATATAGCAATGCTCTGGTCAGTGAATATCTGTAGAATCCAATTATTCCTAGAAATTATCTCCTTCTGTCTTGAATTCTATAGTCCTTTAAAAATACATTTAATGATGCCCAGAACTATGGTTTGCTTACAACATTGCAAAAATCATCAGAAATTATGTTTACACACTCAGATGCAAAGCTTGTATAAATCACTCCTGTAAACTGCACATCAACGTTCTTTACACCTGTCTTTGTGTAGCCCTTATTCTAGTGAGTTTTTAGGTCCCTATAGTTGGCCCTGGAAAGCAGTTGGTTTACATGCATAGACCAACACCTCCACCCAGCGTTTCATTAGAGTACAAAAATATGCCTGCAGATAATTGAATTTGCAATATCTTGGTTTTTCTTATTACTCCTGATCACTGGGAGGCTATTGTTAATATTGTTATTTCCAAAACTGTAATCCTTCTGAAGCTGTAAAAGATTTTCTGCTTCGTTTTGGTTTTGCGCATACGTTATTAACGCAATCTTACCTGGCTCAATATCCAGGGAATAGCTGTCAATCTCCAAATTGAGGTGCTGGGCTGCAGCATCACAGAAATCTTCCAAAACACAGTGTACTGCTTCTGTGATATTGTATGGCACTGTCCTGGCAAATTTCATTTTGCTATTCACTATCACACTTCCATTCCTGAAGTTAAGTATTTCCAGGTGCTTAAAACCGGTAAGGTTGGACTGAAGGTATGGAAGTAGCTGCAAAACAGAAAGTTGCCTTTATTTTAACTTACTGTAAATGTCTACCTGCTGTTGAGTTCTCTTATAGTCACTTTTCATTATCAAGTACACACGTCACACACTTATTTCTTTTAATTTAATACAATTCTTAAACTCCACCACCAAACTCCCTTTTCTGTTTAGCACTATCATCTGCTGGATTTGTGCATCTTTCTCAATGTATTGAGCTGGATGGGCAGCAATTTCCCCTGTAATGAAGTGCACAGCAGTTGGGGAGTTTATTCATCTGGAAGAAAAAAAATCACCTCACTCAAAAGCCAACTTTAATTATTTTCAAACATTCAATCCAGGCAGGTTAAGGCGTAGCATAATAGGCATGTTACTGAGCTGACCTGCTGCCCTATTGTACCCATAGAGAAAATCCATATCTAATCACATTCCCCCTGCTAAGCTATGATATATTTTAAAAGGCCTATTTTTAAATCCAGCATGTAGACACAAGCCTTAGATGTAATCAGCACTGCTATACTGTTGACATGAATCTAAGAAAAAGCCAAATAAATTACGTCAGGCATGTATCTGGAGTCTCTTGAACAAGTAAAAACTTTCATTACTGACTTCATAAAATCTTTTTTCATACCCTGACAGCATTCCAGGCTTATGGGTCCTTTAAAAATACAGCTTATCAGACTGAATTGTAGTAGGGTCTGATATTGTTAAAATACTGTGCTCTTCAGTGTAGTTCTTTAATTTGTGCCCAACTATTGTATATGTTGTTCAAGTTGATTTTCACCCACCAGTTGCACGAACTGTTGTTCTAGTGCTTTGTATTCTGCCGAACTCCTATTGAAGAGGTCATCAGAAAAGTGCATGTTTGTTACCCTCAGGCTGAAGAAAACCACTAGTTCTTTGCCTTTGGCTGCGGTTGTCATGGAGCTGGTAGTTACATACTTCAGCGTAGGACCTGGGGTGGCTTCTGCAGGCTCAGTTGACAGCACTGGGATAAAACCGCTGCCATGCTCCACTTCATCCAGTGCTGCTGTGCTCACCAGATCGATGTGATCTAACTCGGCAGCAATATCCTGCACTCCTGTCCTGGTGCCATCAGGAGGAATGCTCCCAGATGCTGGCACTGAGGAATCTGGTACTTCAAGGGACTGTTCGATGATCTCGGAGTGGCTGTAGGGTGGGCTGGTTGCTGCAGACAGCAGTGCTGTTTGGTCTGATGGTACCACATCTGTAATAACATCTTCAGGCTGCATGGTAGAGAGATCACTTGAACCAATAAAGACAGGCAATGTTTTGTAAATGCTGGCTGTAACTAAAATGTCATCCCCTGATGATTCTGGTTCATCCATGATCTTAACTGCTGCAGGAAAACGGGAAAAACAAATAGCTATTTTGAAAAGCAAGCATAGCAAACATCAAGCATGGAAACAAGAAGGATATTATATTTCTACTAAAGCGTTTTAAAAAAAAACAAGTGTTACCACTATTTAAGCATGAAACTGTTACTGATTTCCATCACCAAGGAACAACTACTGGAGTAAAACACTTCATCCACATATTTGAGTGATGAGATTTCTGTGAGTGCTATGTTTAAATAATAATTATGCTTGGTAAGTATTTCCTGAGCCATTCCAAAGTGCATTTTTGTTTTGAAGGTACATAATCACACTGTCAGTTTATATTGCTGAAAGAATAGAATGCAGCTTTGAGCTATCTGCTCAGATCAGTTGTATGCTGGAGTCATTCTGTTCCCCTCTACGAGAGGTTAAAGCTATTATTTGCCAGTAATCATAAAATGTTGTTAAGAAAAACAGTACAGCCTCTTCAGATGCAAACTGTGTTGATTTACCTAAAAGACAACAGCACCAGTGAAGACAAATTCAAACCTTAAAAAATCATCTGCTGCACCTGAAGCAGCCCTTTGATCCAGATGCTGAACTTTTATGAGGTCTTCACTGGGGCTTAGTGTGGATCTAGGATGTGTGATGGCTAAATCCAAATCTAAAGCCTGATGAATGAAACTTTCTGAATTAGGCTTGCAGCTACCTGGCCACAACAATTTAGTGGAAAATGATGGCCTCCAAGCAACAGATACCTACCCAAGCTGATGACTTTGTCCTTTTCTAGTGATATAGTTATGTGGGCTCTTCACGTGGGACTTTCAGCAGCCCCCTGCAGGCAAAATCACTTACCAGCTGATAGGAAAGAAGTTTTCCTCCAATGAATGAACTCGTCCATTCCCTATACATTAATTTCCTCCCACTGGCCAGTGAAACTACTAAAGGAGAGCTGACTTTTGCATTGGGAATAACCTCGACTAAAGGAGGTGGCAGCTCTCCTGTCCATGGCATAGGAGTTACCCATGGATGTTCTTTGTGTCTCTTTCCATTTCCTTGCTTTGAAACAAGTAAGGCCCAATTTTTTCCTTATTGTATTGCTGCTTTTAGGAACAAACGTACATTTTCAACAAAGAAAATCTTAATATGAGATAGCTGTCTATTTTCTTGACACTGTTAATTTAGCAGCAAGTACTAGCTCTTTGCTTCCTCCCTGCAGATACGATGCCTTGGTCTAATGTGGATTATTTTCTATATAGCTTTATATAGACCCATTCTGCTAAGCTGACCACAGTTCTCCAAACAGCAAAGAATTGCTATAAGGCACAGTATGTGGTTTTACTAGAATTAGATATTTGAAAATAATTTCCTCCCATCTGGTTACTACGTAAACCTGTGTTAAGAGCTGCTACATAAATATTTTTTCTCCTTTATAATTTGTTTTATTATGTATGTTGGAGTGTATATATGGTGATTCAGTGGTAGTAAAGATATAAATAAAAACATGCTAATAAAATAAGTTAATAGGAAAATAATAAATAGTATAATATAAATATAAAAATAATACATAAATGAATAACTAGTATAAATAGTAATAGAATAAGTAAAACACATAACAGACTGACCAGTGGTTAAGCTATTGGAGTAGGTTGTGAGACAGCTAGATTTACTTTTTTGTTCTGCTTCAATCTCCTCAGGAGTCTTAAGAATATGCCTTTGTGTGGTATTGATCTCATTTCTAGGAGACATGTAGAAGTGAGGTGCATCCTCTAAGCCAGTCATCTTTGCTTCCTTTTTAGTCAACAGAGAGACATTTGTCTCACTTGAAGAAAACCATCCATACATATGCTGGATCTTTTGAAGTGCCTGTATCTTTCTGTTGACTTCAGAATATACACAACGAATTTATGTAAGATGCCTGGTTTTCCCCTTGGTTGCTTTTACCTAAATCAATCTCTTCATCTCCTTGTAGCGTTATTGAGGTTCACTGATTTCTCTGAGGTGCTCAAGTATTAGACTGATGAGGACTATTAAAGTTTTTTGAAAAAGGGAAATCTTTCCATTGTGCTGTAGTTTGACACTACCAGCAGGGTAGTGTGGTTCTAGCTCTGTTGAAGGGTCAGTGAATTTTACTCTGGAATACCAGTAACAATGGTGTTACCAGAGTGTTCTTCCTCCCATTCTCAGTTGTAAGATTTTCCATTTGTTGCAAGTGTTTCACATGCCTTGGCTAAGGGAAGAACTAGGGTTGTTTTGTCTGTTCTGTGGGGCAGTGAACTTCAGGAAACAATTTCCAAAAATAACCTGGGTAATCTGAAGTAGAACTCCTCAGATAAGGCAGCCTGGAAGGATCATTACTGCATCAACTTCTATTTATGCTGTCACTATATTAGTAACTAGTGCAAATGTTATTCTGTTACAAATAAACCTGTCTGAAAGCATAATGCATTTTAAGACTGTATTTAACAGGTATTGAGTAATAGATGTTAATGTTGTATTTCAGTAAGGTGCTGAGGAATATCAGGCAAATTATTGCTAGATCAGAGTTTATCACAACAGCGGTGCACGTTCTCATAGCTATGCATGAAGAAGCATTTTAGAAACAAGATGTGGACTACTCCGACGGGTAATGTGCTTACCGTCTACCGACTTCCACATGTGCTACTTTCTGGATGCACAAAATATAGCAAGTTTGTAAAGCAACTGCTTTGCAAGATGCTTCCCCTCTTTGGAAGACCAGTTATTAGCTACTGTTACATGTTCTTGCACGATTCCCGTGTTATCTTGCAGCTCAAAGTAGACCAGTCATCAAAGACGGTTTGCAAATTGTCCTGGACAGCTGCTGCTGCTGATAGAATCATAGAAAGGTTTGGGTTGGAAAGGACCTTAAAGATCATCTAGTTCCAACCCGCCTGCCATAGGCAGCTTACTTGTAGGCCCCCTCTAGGTACTGGAAGGCTGCTATAAAGTCTCCCTGGAGCCTTCTCTTCTCCAGGCTGAACAAGCCCAACTCTCTCAGCCTGTCTTCATAGGAGAGGTGCTCCAGCACTCTGACCATCTTTGTGGCCCTGCTGTGGACTCACTCCAACAGGTCCATGTCCTTCGTATGTTGGGGGCCCCAGAGCTGAACGCAGTACTCCAGGTGGGGTGTCACCAGAGCAGAAGGGCAGAATCACCTCCCTCGACCTGCTGGCCACGCTTCTTTTGATGCAGCCCAGGATATAGTTGGCTTTCTGGGCTGCAAGCGCACAGTGTCAACTCATGTTGAGCTCCTCCTCAACCAATACCCCCCAAGTCCTTTTTGGCAGAGCTGCTCTCAATCCATTCTCCATGCAGCCTGTATTTGTGCTTAGGATTGCCCCGACACAGCTGCAGGACCTTGCACTTGGACTTGTTGAACCTCATGAGGTTGGCTTGGGCCCACCTCTTGAGCCTGTCAAGGTCTCTCTGGATGGCATCCTTTCCCTTCAGCCTGTTGACTGCACCACACAGCTTGGTGTCACTGGCAAACTTGCTGAGGGTGCACTCAATCCCACTGTCCATGTCGCTGACAGAGATGTTAAACAGCACCAGTCCCAATTCCGACCCCTGAGGAATGCCACTCAACACTAGTCTCCACTTGGATATTGAGCTGTTGACTGCAACACTTTGAGTGTGACCATCCAGCCAATTCCTTATCCACCAAGTGGTCCATCCATCAAATCCATGTATCTCCAATTTAGAGACGAGGATGTCGTGTGGGACAGTGTCAAATGCTTTGCACAAGTCCAGGTAGATGACGTCAGTCGCTCTTCCCTTATCCACCAAGGCTGTAACCCTGTTGTACAAGGCCATCAAATTTGTCAGGCATGATTTGGTGTTAGTGAAGCCATGTTGTCTGTCTCCAATCACGTCCTTATTTTCTGTGTGCCTTAGCATAGTTTCCAGGAGGATCTGCTCCATGATCTTGCCAGGCACAGAGGTGAGCCCGGCCTGTAGTTCCCTAGGTCTTCCTTTTTTCCCTTTTTAAAAAAGGCGGTTATGCTTCCCCTTTTCCAGTCAGTGGGAACTTCACCGGACTACCACGACTTCTCAAATATGACGGATAGAGGCTTAGCAACTTCCTCCATCAGTTCCCTCGGGACCAGTGGATGCATCTCATGAGGTCCCATGGACTTGTGCACTTTCAGGTTCCTTAGATGGACTTGAACTTCATCTTCTCCTACAGTGGGCAGTTCTTCATTCTCCCAGTTCCTGCCTTTGCCTTCTTGGGCAGTGTGGCTTGAACACTTGCCAGTGAAGACTGAGGCAAAAAAATAGTTGATCACCTCAGCCTTCTCCAGATCCCAGGTAATCAGGTCTCCCGTTTCATTCCAGAGAGGATCAACATTCTCCCTTGTCTTTCTTTTATCAATCACTGACGTACCTCTAGAAGCTTTTCTTGTTGCCCTTGATGTCCCTGGCCTGATTTAATTCTATCAGGGCTTTAGCTTTCCTAACCTGATCCCTGGCTGCTTAGGCAATTTCTCTGTATTCCTCCCAGGCTACCTGTCCTTGCTTCCACTGTCTGTAGGCTTCCTTTTTGTGTTTGAGTTTGTCCAGGAGCTCTTTGTTCATCCATGCAGTCTCCTGGAGTTTTTGCCTGACCTCCTCTTTGTTGGAATGCATGATGGACAAACATTTTTTTTATACTTTGGCACACTGGAACTAATCAGTAGGAGCTGGGTGCTGCCAAGGTTTTCCAGAGACCAGGTCTTAGTGGAGCTGTCTGCAAAGAAATGGCATGCTACAGGGGGTGCCTGTTTTGCCCTTAAATCTAGCTGGCTGATGGTAAGCTATTGAAGATCACCCAACTCTGTCAATATTTAGCATCCTGTTTCCATATTGGACAAGGCAAATTTTCATTGTCAGTCTTGTTGCCTTCATCTGCATGCATGAAAACATCTTCCCTCAAATGCCTCATGTTAATGGGTCAGAATATTTGGAAATCAGAATGATTTATATGACAAAAATTCCCACTTGATAAGAGACTGTATTTCACCTG